CTATCTACCCATCTCATCCTCTGCCGTCCCCTTCTCCTTTTGCCTTCAATCTTTCCCAGCATCAGGGTCTTCTCCAAAGAGTCCTCTCTTCGCAGACAAGAAAGTAGCATGAGCAAAAGTCTCAGACAAGCCTCTCCCTAGTTCACACGGAGATGAAGGGAGGGAGGGGGAAGCACATTCAGGCTTGCCAGACACTGTTACTACAGTGGTACCTCGGTTCACGAACTTATTTCCTTCCACGGCTCTGGCCGCGAACCGAATTGGTCGCGAACTGAATCAAATTTTCCCATAAGGTTCAATGTAAATATGGTTAATCCGTTCTGAACCATATGTATTTTTTTTTTAACCCACAAAAATATGAAACAGTATAGTACAGTACAATATGAAGAGAGAGAACACTAACCTTGCTTGAGGCGACTTCTCGCATGGAGGACAGGAAGGCAGGTGGGGAGGCGGTTATTGTTTGGAGGGAGACTCCCCCTCCCTACAGGAAGCCACGACCACGTGTCACAGCAGGGAAAATGGCCATGGGTCATGTTCGTCACCCGATGCGGAGTTTGCGAACGGAAGCAAAATTTTGCGAACGGTGCTGTTCGTGACCCGAATTGGTCGTGAACAGAACGTTCATGAACCGAGGTATTACTGTATAGCCTTACAACAAAAGTAATCCTGGCCTACATGGACCTACTTTCCTAGTCTGGTCTACCTTGTACAGCAGACACACAGCTGAGTATTTTCCAGGCAGAGGATCACAGGTTCAGCTCCCACCGTGATCAAACTTCCCCACTGGAAATCTTAACAAGCTGCTCCAGGAAACTCACCAGTGAGATGAACCAGTGTCCCCCCCACCAAAAAAACCCAGTTGTTTTTCTAAGATAGTTCCATCGATACAATGAAGCTGAAACATTCTCAGATGATGTTCCGCTCTGCTGCCCTGGGAGATTTTGATAAAATATAGGCAGTGTCATGGAATCCGTCCAGGTCAAAATAGGTGCCATCAGATTGGGGCTTTCCAAATCTCACCCTTGGTCGGAATATATCTTCGAATAGCTGTCACAATGCTGCACCATTGCAGGAGGAGAGCTGTGTTAGTCTATAGTGGCAAAACGTCAGGAGTCTGGTAGCACCTTTTCTGACTCGCAAATTTTATTCAAAGGCATCAGCTTTCGTGAGCTGGCGCTGCAAAGCTGATGCCTTTGAATAAAATTTGCGAGTCAGAAAAGGTGCTACCAGACTTCTGACTGGATGCTGTATCACAAAGATGATGCCATAAGTCTACCAGACGAAATTCTTCCATGTGGGCACAAAGTGAGTGGCATTTGCGCATCTTTCTTGCTTAGGAGTAGCACAACAGGAATTGCTTCATGCCTTGCGTGTGGCTTTCCCAAAGGCACGTGGCTGCCAGACTGGACTCTGGCGGTCCATCGGTGGTTATTCCAGCTTTCTTCCATGCTACCCTTCTGCTTTGCCTGGTGGGGTTGCCTGCTGCACCTTGAAACGCCTCTTTCCAAACTAACTGTCTCCCTGCCTCCCTCCCAGCTGCCGAAAAGCCTCCGCGCAAGCCCCGTGGGCGGAAACCTAAACTAGAGAGACTTCCCAGCAGCTCCAGCAGTGACAGGTGAGAGATGGAGGCCTTGTCCCCTCCCTTGGTGGTGGCCAGGAGATCTGTCAGGGCAGCACGTGGAATTGCCCCGGGGGCAAGCTGAGCTTCCGTGCAAAGGAAAAAGCTGAGATGCTGCATTCCTTGGACATTTCCTCCTGTCTTCTCTTCTCCCCCCCCCCCCCAGCGACAGCGACGTGGATCGCATCAGTGAATGGAAGCGGCGGGATGAGGAACGCCGGCGAGAGCTGGAAGAGAAACGGAAGCGTGAGCAGGAACAGGAGCTGCGCCGGTTGCGGGAACAGGAACGGGAGGAGAAAGAGAGGAAGAAGGAGAAGGCTGAGAAAGGGGAGGTGGAGGGCGCAGACAGCGACAGCAGCGCAGACAGCGAAGTCCCTAGAAAAAGCAAGAAGGGCCAGCCCAAGGCCCCCTCTTCCTCTGACTCAGATGCGGAGAAAGAGGTGAGCTTGCAAGGGGCAGGGAGGGGGTCAGGCGGATGATTCCCAGGGTCCTGGGGGAATGCAGGAGCCTCCTTTTCTTACCAGAACTGCAGTTCTGTAGCTACAACAGCAAATAGGCTCAGGAGTGCTGTTAGTGCACGCGGCTTTCTTTTAAGCATGTCTTTCCTGGAACATCTGTGAGTTGCAAGTGGGCAGGAGGGCTTCGTTCTGCACATCTAGTTCCCTGCCTTGGACCTGGCTTCAAAGTGTCGTGAAACCGCCCACCAAATTATGAACTGCTTTGGGTGGTTATCGTCTTTTAAAGAGAGCCAGTTTGATGTTGTGGTGAAGGCCCCAGGCTAGAAACTGGGAGGCTGTGAGTTCTAATCCTGCCTTAGGCACGAAGCCAGCTGGGTGACCCTGGGCCAGTCACTCTCTGTCAGCCATAGGAAGCAGGCAAGGGCAAACCGCTTCTGAACTCTTGCCAAGAAAATTGCAGGGACTTTTGTCCAGGTGGTCGCCGGGAATCAATACTGACTTGAAGGTGCACACACACAAACACATCTTTTTAAGATCAGTAAATGATTAGGAATAATGCATCAGTGGGAGATCAAACCATCCTGAGGTTGCCCCAAAGGCAAGTCTGCCCAAGCTACTAGATACCCAGCCTTGCTTTTCAGCTACTGAAATCAAGATCCTCGCATCCTAGCTCTTAGACGTTTATATCTTTGCAGTGCCTGCACTCTTTTTATAGAGGGATCAGAATTTAATTTGATCTGTTTTCATTCCCTACTTCAAATGGGATATAGAGAAAAGATTGAATGGCGATGGAGTTGATAATGATGGGGGTTGTAATCCAGCATGTCTGCCAGGTGCCAGATTCTCAGTCAGTGAGAAGCGTTGGTTGAATTCATCTATCTCTGCTCTAAAGGCTGGGAAGTTTTCCGTTGCCTGGAACAGCATCTTTTTCTCTTTCCTGCAGATGAAAAAGCTGCCAAAAAAGCAGCTGTCCTCAGAACTTTTAAAGAAATCAAGTCAAAAGGAGAAGCGAGGCCACGGAGATGAGAAGTCACGGAACAAGTGAGGGCCTGCACGGGTTTATTTAACTCTTGACATGGTTTTTCTACTGCCTTTCAACTCAAAATGAGCATTCAGGTTATTTTTGTTTGCAACAGAGCAAAGAAGGTGGGAGGTGTGTATGCCAACAGGCCAGCTTCTTGGTAGCATTTCTGTCCAATACAGTTGTGTAATGAAATGTGCTTTGCAAATTCATTCCACCAATGTATGCATTTTTATGCAAACTTTTCCCTAGTATACATATATTTGTATGCAAATTTTTTCAAGAAAACATACCACGAAATTAGGAAATGTACAGATTTCGTGTATAAGCTGCAACGTTCGAATAGGGTACCTCTGCATCAGAATGCAAATGTAATAAATTGATTCACCTATGCAGAACTGGACGACAGAAATGGCCGTACGTGGTTTTATGTAGAAGTGATGAGTTTTTGCTGAGAAAGTACTACGTTGAAATACAGTGGGAACTATGTCTTTTGTTTGCTTCTTTATTTGGTTTATGCCCTCCTTTTCAAGTACAGGTAGTCCTTGAGTTATGACCATTTGTTCAGCAACTGTTTGACGTTACGATGGTGCTGAACAAAGGGACTTACTACTGGTACTCAAAGTTCCAGCTGTCACAGTGCCCCCGCAGTCACGTGAACAAAATTTGGGTCCCTGGCAACCCGCTTGCACTTACAACCAGTTGCGGTGTCCTGCGGTCACGTGATCGCCATTTGCGACCTTCCCTGCCAGCTTTCCCCAAGCAAAGTCAGTGGGAAGCCAGCAAGGAAGGTCGCACGTTGCTGGCTAAGTCTCTCCCCACCCCTGCCTTTCTTTGCTCACACGCACTGCACCCTCCTTCCCCCCTTTGTTCACACACACCCTGTACCCTCTTTCCACAGCCTTCCTGCACTCGCACGCACGTACCCCGTGCCCTCTTTCCCCAGCCTCTCTGCAATCACACACACACATGCACGTACCCTGGCCCTCATTCCCTGGCCTTTCCGAGCTCTCACCTCACCGAGCACTCCTCTCCTGACTCATACGTGGCCCCAGGCCTCCCAGGGCTTCCCCCGCCCTCCTGTAGCACCCCCGCACTTCTTACCAGGGATTCCCTCCACTTCCCACTTAATGACCTGTGTGTCTTGGGTTATGACAACAGCTGGACCTGCCTGAATTGCTGTTGCTAAGCAATGCAGTCACATGACATCACACTTCATGACCGCATCACTTAGCGATGGCAATCCCAGTCCCAATTGCAGTTGTAACTCGAAGACTACCTGTAAGTACTCAGGATGGCTAATAAAAGGAAGTGTTTAATTTTGTTTGAATGTTTTAAAACAAAATTAGTTAACAAAAGCCTGATGAATGAAATATGCTTACAGATTTTAAAAAAAGAAAGTAAAGGTGGCCACACACACTACCACTCCACCCAAAGGATTGTGTTTCAAAGTCTGGCAGAATGCCAAAAGAGGATCTCCAAATGTGCAAGAAAGGCCTTGACAGAATGGAGGGATGTTCAACTGGGTTCCTCTTACAGATTTTATTAACAGGGTGGTTCATAACAGGAGTTAGAATTGGCAATGAAGATATTGAAGTGGTGGAGAGCTTCTGCCTTTTAGGATCAACCATCAACAGTCAAGGAACCAGCGGTCAAGAAATATGCTGCAGGCTCGCACTTGGTAGACCAGCCATGAAGGCCTTGGAAAAGATATTCAGATGACGGGATGTGTCTATGTCCACAAAGATCAGAATCATGCAAGCTGTGGCCTTCCCTGTGATCTTTTATGGAAACAAAAGTAGTATAGGAAGAGTATTGACACCTTTGAACTTTGGTGTTGGAGAAGACTCCTGAGAATAGTGTGGACAGCCAGGAAAAGCAAAGCGATAGATTGTCGAACAAATCAGCCCAGAGTTCTCACTCGAGGCACAAGTGACGAGGCTCAAATTATCCTACTTTGGGCACATGATGCGAAGACCCAGCTCTTTGAAAAAGGCTCTGATGCTGGGAAAGATGGAAGGAAAGAGAAGAAGAGGATGACCAGCAGCAAGGGGGAGGGACTCAGTTACAGGGTGATGGGTGCAGTGTTGAAAGACCTGAAGGACCAGGTTAGGGGGAGGTCGCTAAGAGTCAACCATGACTTAATGGCACATAATCAGTCACTCTCTAGTGGATATACCTGCAGACTAAATGTATGCGTTGCTATTTCTAGATTCCTTTCCTACTTATCGTTAAGTAAATGGATTAATTACACCAACTGGCAGTCTCTCTCAAGCAAACCTCTGTCTTCAGTTACCCATGGAAGTCATCTGCATTGAGTAGATGCCCTTGACACCCTTTCCTCTATGTGGTCATTAGGCCATTCATGAACCTGAAATCTTCCAACTATCATGGTCTCAGCAGTGTAACACTGCCTAGTCCACCTCAGGATCCTATTTTCAAGCAAACTCCCTTTTTCCAAAGAGAAGGGTCCTGAGCCTGTGAGAAGGCAGACAATCTCTGCTTCTTCCAATTTCTACTGTCAGCTGAAACACCCAGGGTGAATGTTTAAGTATGTCATAGGATAGCAGACAGCGCTGGCAGTGACACACTGTCCCATGCAGACTGGATTTGGAGACGAATAGAATCTTTCAAATCATACTCATTTGCATAAGTAAATTTTCCAATGCAAAACTTTCTAAAAAACCCATGGCACTGGGTCCCTTGAACAGTAAGGACCCAAACCATTTCAGATTTTAAAGGTCAATGCCTGCCAGAGTTTTATTAGCAGACAGAGATTCTCAGAGCAGGAATACAGAGAATATAAACATGCAACTGCCATGAGCAATGAGTGGTAGAAATGAAAGGCCAGAATTTGGTTACATAAAAGGTAATGCAGAAAAAGAATGAGCTGGATTTGAACCAGGAAGAAATCAAAGTTCTGGTTCAGTCAGTTGCTTCATGTCAGCTGCCTGTTTGTTCCTGTGATGCAATCAAGATTTAGTCCTTGATGTGTTACTTCAAATCTCCAGGAAGCTTCAGCTAAGTCACATCAGCCAAGGGAAGTTGGCTTCCGAGCGATAATATCAGCCAAGGGAAGTCACATCAGCCAGGGGAAATTGGCTTCCGGGTGAGGATCCATGGTAAACTAGATGTCCCTGAAGGAGCGGGGACAGCTTTGTGGCAGCAATCAGTGGCCAGACGGTGAATTCTGGCCAGCCCTGTCTTCCTGGATAAAGGAGAGATCATGAGATCACCCACCTGTACTCCAGACAGCTGCTCCTTGTCAGTAGACTGCAGGAACTGCGGGTTTTGCGGTCGACTTGTGAGTGGCTGGGAGTCGAGGGATTTTAATGAAGCTCACAGCCTTGATGCAGCCTATACAGACCCAAGGTTCGCACAAGCCTCACTTTCTTAAACACTTTTGGATGTAATTAATTTACAGCTAAAGAGAGATTTTCTGAGTGGCAGGATAAGAGAATTCCTCTTGGTGAGTCAACATTCTTTCTGGATTAAAAAGGTTTTAAAGATTTAAAAACATTTGGCAAAAAGCTTAACAAGGAGCGGATGTAAGAAAGTTTAAAACGGATAAAGGGGACAGTTTTTAAAAAAAAATTTTTTGGTGAAAATGCTTTTGAATAAATTGGAATTAAATAGACAAACCGGACCTTCATGGGAACTTTTTTTGTTTACTATTAAAGAGTGCAGACAATTGGTAGATTTTACAAAACAAAAGATAAAGGTAATGTGAACCAGACTGTGATGCTGACTATAACTACAGAGTGCCATTTGAGACAAAAGCATTAAGGGCACAGGAAGACAAAATGAAAAAAAGGGGAAAACTTGTCTTTTACTTTTTCCCTTGTAATTGAGACACTTTCACTTTTGGATTACAATATTACAGTGGCAACCACCAGAAAAGCAGCCAAAATAACAGAGGGGAAGAAAGGATCGCTAGAGCAAACTGCAGAGAGAGGAAGTACACCAGATTTACTTCAGAAAATTGGGCAATAAGTTAACTGAATCACTTGATACTAAATTGACAGCTTTAAAAAAAAAGAATGGATCAAAGACTTGTAAAGATGAAAGAGGAGATGAAAGAAGAAGTCAAGAAGATGGAAAGCTCTGCAAAACAAGTGTCTGGAGATGTAAAACAAATTCATGACAAAGAAGAAATTTTGAGGAGTAAGACAGAAGTTATGGGCAGAGAACTGGAAAGAGAGTTAAATAATTTGGCACTACTGGAACTGAGAGAGAAGGAATTTTGTTTGAGATTTAGAGCAATTCCAGAGGATTCTGGTGAAGTTATTAGATAAAAGGTTATTAAAGTTTTAGCACTTTTTTTTTTAACTGGGATGAGGAGGATACAGAGGCAGAAATTGATAAAGTATATAGAATAATACAAGATTTGCAAGAATAAGAAATGTTCCAAGGGATGTCTTGATGTACTTTGTCAGGAGGAAGGCAAGGGGTCAAGTTTTGCTGCACCATTTTAATATAAGACTGAAGATTGATAATACATATGTAATTTTTCTTAAAGAAATTCCTGTTAGAATCTTGTATAAGAGAAGATAGATTAAAACAAAAGAAGATTCCATTTTAATGGGATAAATTGGAAGGTGTGGTTTTTACTGTGAAATGTGGAATATAAATGGAGCAAATGCGTGGCCACCCAAAATGCATTTCATCAATATTTTTCTAACTTGTATAAAGCAAGCCTTTCAATCACCATGAGATCACCTTTTACCATGAGATTACTAATGGCTGTATTTTGACATAGTAGCAACTTCTGGACACTTTTCGAAGATAGCCACAAGATGGGTTAAAAGCAAGGCATGGATAAAACCCATACCTCTGGGTTCCATGAACAGTGAGGACCCAGACCATTAAGGATTGTAAAAGCCAATACCTGTCAGAGCCTTAATAGCCGATAGAAATTCTTAGAGAAGGAATGCAGAGTATGTAAACATGTAACTGCCATGAACTATCAGTATGGGAAACAAAAATCCAGAATAATGTTAGACAGATGGTGGATGCTTTTCAAAGGTAGCCACAGGTGAGTTGTAATCAAGGCATGGATGACCAGCCAAGTCCAACTGATCCAGGAATAATTTAAGCTGACACACTAGGTGTAATTGTGCAAATGCACTCCTTCCCACAGTCTCTGAGTCTATCTACTTCTGCTGATCAAGGAGTATTTCCAGACGGTGTGTTTGTTCTTTCAGAGAGTTTCTCCTAGCTACCACAACACCCCAACTTATCTGGATGTCACATCAGCTTGTTTATCCAGCACATTAATGAACTTATGCAGTGGTCAAGAGTATTGATGCTTCCTTGAAGTTGGATCATGGTGATGAATAGACTGAAAAATTTCAGATGTTTTCCCCCAGCAAATTCAAGTCCCTTGCACTGTTCAACAGCTACAAGACAGAACCCTTTGGGACACCAGAGATCAAAGGTCTGGGGGGTCAAGCAGCACTACCACTAGACCCAGGAATACCAGAGCCACTGCAAAAATGGCTCCCAGAAGAAAGCCATGGTTGATGATATGAAAAGCCACCCAGCAGGCTGGGAAAACTAGCAGGGTCACACTCTCTCCCCTCTAGTATTTTCTGCAGCAGTTTGTATCACTGCTTGCCTCTTTTTTAGTTTCTTGAGTTTAAAGGCCTTGGAAGTGAGCTGGTGTCCACTGAAGGTTTTGTTGTAAGTCACCCCTCCAAATGTATCCAGTGGGCTCTCTGAGTTAAGTACAGGTAGTCCTCAACTTATGACCACAACTGGGACCAGAAGTGCTGTCACTAAGTGATATGGTCATTAAGTGAGTCACGCCCAATTTTACGACCTTTTTTGCCACGGTCATTAAGCGAATCTGGCTTCCCCCATTGACTTTGCTTGTCAGAAGCCCCCTGGGATGGTCGCAGATGGCAGTCACGTGACTCCAGGACACTGCATCCATTATAAATATACGCAGGTTGCCAAATGCCTGAATTTTGATCGCGTGACCATGGGGATGCTGCGATGGCCATAAGTGCAAAGACCAGCTGCCACTTTTTCCGGTACTGTTGTAACTTCAAAGGGTCGTTAAATGAATGGTCATAAGTCGAGGACTACCTGTACCTAATACCTGTCTTTGATGCTCCCTGCAATTTTGGGCATCTCTGATTGGCAGTTCTGCCCAGAGTTCTTGGCAGCAATCCGGTGGAAAGAAGGCAGGTATCTGCTTTTGACAGGCAGGGGCAAAGGGTAGAGCTGCAAGCATGCACGTTTTCTTCAACTGCAGAAGAAAACTCCAGCTGATCTGGGACACCAATTCAGCTCCCTTCCTTCTTTTGACACCTCCCTGCTGCCCTTTTCTCTTTGTAGATCTCTGAAAGCGGAACGAGGCAGGAAGAAGCCCGATTTGCTGCCGGAAAGAAAGGTGGAGAAGAAAAAAGGTAAAAATTGCAGTAAAGTCTAAGGCAGGAGGGGGAAATGGTTTGGTGGCCGAGGACCATGATTCTCATTTACCTGGCACGTTGAAGGTCATAGAGCGGATGGCTGTACAGCATCTGTTTCAGCAGAAGTTGAGCCTTTGTTTTTAAAACAAAATACTTATTTTCAGTCTTAGCTTTCCTTGGTCTCTTTCCTCAAGATGGGAAGAAACTGCGCTGCGGGTTTTCAGCAGTTACCAGCAGAGGAGGCTTCAGTTGCCACAAAAAGGGAATTTGAGAATCCTCAAAGTCCTCATAGTCCTGCCCACCCCGGCCTGGGCCCTACTTGCTCTCAGTCCTGTCTAGCACTTGGAAGTTGGAAGGGGCCATTGAGGCCATCAAGTCTAACCCCCACTCAGTGCAAGAATTAAAGCGCCCCCATCCAGCTCTGCTTGAACCCCCCTGACAAAGGGGTGCCCGTCACGTCTCTGGGACATGGGTTCCACTGTGTGACACTTCTGCTTTTTGACCTTGTTTCTCAACTCTTGCCTATCTCACAGGGTGGTGGTTCCAGGGGTCAAATTGGAGGAGCCGATGCCCCCTGGACTGCCTGGAATTAGAACAGGGTATAAGCCTGGCCTGTAAATGCAGCTGTAGAGTGAGCCACTGTGGGAGTGCCGCAGGCTGGCAGGTCAGGCTTTTTAAAACCTTTGCTCCCTTTGCAGAGCCAACTGTTGAGGAGAAGCTCCAGAAGTTGCACAGCGAGATCAAGTTTGCTCTCAAAGTTGACAACCCGGTAAGCTGTTTTGAGCCTGCCTGGCTATTGGAAGCTCTCTTTCCTTGCTTTGCTTGTGGTTCCAGCAGCAGGAGACCTGACACTGCCCAGCTGAAGGCGTCTTTCTCCGGGCTGTTTTTTTTTTCTCCGCTCCATCAAGCCAAGGGGGACAACTGGATGAGCATCACTTTGCTGGCTCATGCTTCAGACACACTCCCTCTCTGAGTGGGCGAGCCAGTCAGCTTATTCACCTTAGCTACAACCTCCCTGCTTGCCGTTAGAAACAGTACAGCTGGTGTCCAGTGATCCTGTCATTCCCCTAAGTCAGGTTTCTCAATCTTCTTGGTGACTTTAAGATGGGTGGCCTTCAACTCCCAGAATTCCCCAGCCAGCATGCTTTAAGGTGCGTGGACCAACTCCCAGAATTCTGGGAATTGAAGTCCATGCATCTTCAAGTGGCCAAGTATTGAGAAACACTGTCCTGCGTGTTGAAGGAGATGTCGGAGAGGAGACGTGAACATCCAGGTTTGTTTTTCTGCTTCGCACGCCTCTCCTGATTGAAGTCCAGGCTTTCTGTAATCACGCCTGGTGAACTGTTAGCATTGCACCATTGCTTTGGCTCCCCGTGCCCTGCCCCCTCTTCTTGCAGTCTAATTTGCTACCAGAAACGCTTTTCATGGGACTGTAAACCAGCTCAGCTGGCCTGAGTATACTGACACGGGCTGGAAGCTGGGAGCTCACAGGATCCTGTTCTGTCCCTTTAGGACATCAAGAGGTGTTTGAGTGCGCTAGAAGAGCTGGGCAGCTTGCAGGTCACTTCGCAGATCCTCCAGAAACACACTGACGTCGTGGCCACCCTGAAAAAGGTACCTGGGGCCGTGGGGTGCCTGCTGCTGTTTCCTCTCTCCCCTCCCGCTGCCTGCACGTGTGGCGCGCCAGACCGGTGGGGGACAGGCTGTGCCAGGGCTGTCGCCTCGCAGTGTCAGGCTTTCCACAGTGCCAGGAGGGAACCACCATTGGGTGGCTGGGAGTGAGTAACCTTTACAGAGGGCAGGCATCACGGTCGCCAGACTTGCATGCATTCACAGGGGCTGGGCTAGGATTGCCTGTCTTTTGGGAAGTGGGAACTGGGGGGAAAGGTTCTTTCTCTTTAATTACCATAGGCCCATTTTAAGGCATCAGGCACAGTTTCCATCTAGGTGCGTTTCTGCCTGAAAAGGGCAGGTGGGCAGGCAGACAGTTCCAGAAGCACAAAGGTTGGGAGGCACCTGCTGATCTTCGGCCACAGGTAGCTCATTGCTCTTTGCTGCCACCTTCCCTTAATCCAGCTTTGAGATGCAAAAACCTTGGAGTTGCAGCTTAGTCGGTCTGGAGAAAGGCTGCAGCTCATGAGCTCTGACCTGGAGTGGTTCTCTGTTCTCTCTCCCTCCACTTCGTAAGTCACCTCCTTCTCCTCCAAGGTCCTCAGAGGTTAGGAAGATGGCTGCTGAGCCAGGCCGAAGTCCCCAGCAGTTGCTCACTGCCTCTGACTCAGCAGGTGGCCACCAGGGCTAGCAGCTGTTCAGAGGTTCCTCTTCCACGGATTTGTCTAATGTCTAAAGCAAGAGAACATCAGCCCGTCTTGCGGCATGGAGTTCCATCCACTAATGAAGTGTGTTGTGAAGAAGAAGTTCCCTTTGTCTGTCCTGAATCTCCTGCCAAGAAGTTTCATTGGGCAATTCCAAGTTCTAAAAATGATGCATGCCCAGTTCCTCTGTCTCGTGCAGAGTTTTCTATTTTGCCTTCTGTGTTCCCTTTATTCTCTGCACGATCTTCCCTTTTGGTTGGAGACACTATCTTATCAACTTGTGCCCTTTTGTGCCCAGTCCGTTAGCTTCTAGTCCTCTTGGATTAAAGTCTTTCTGCCCCTGGTATTCCTTCCAGTTTCATCAATGCTTTTTCGTTATATTCCAGCTCCCTTAATCCCTGACTTTAGTTATGCCTGCTGTGGTCAATAAGTGTCAGAGTTCAGCCCCTTCTGTCTGATCCACTTTCTCTGATTCCTCCTGATCCACTTTCATGGCCAAACATCTCCTTTTCTGGGACACTGAGTTCAACTGGCCTTCCCCCCCCCACTCCATTTTTCCCCCTCCATTTTTCTCAAAAATAGTCACGTTGCCTCCCACCCCTCCTTCAATGCTTCCCTTTGTGGATTTTTGAAAACTGCAGGGCTCCACCAAGTCTCCATTGCAGATGAGCATTAGCGTGACTACGTCAAATCTGTCTTCAGATTAGGTTTACACAATTAGGGCTTGATGAACAAGCTGTAATGGCTAGCTTCGAACATCGTACTAAGTTTTCTAAGCATGGTTTATTGACTGAGCCACAGTGGCTAGGACCAGCCAACAGAGTAAGCCAAAAGCAAGCTGACCATTGTGTGAACACAAGAAACCATTATAATTAAAGCAGCCTGCAGGGTTTGGATACCTGCCCTCGTGGGAGCCCTTTGGACCTGCCCTCCCAGACAGTCCCAGGCCGAACTTTGTTGTATCTTTTCTTTCGGCCATCAGATTCGACGTTATAAAGCGAACAAAGACGTCATGGAGAAGGCCGCCGAGGTCTACACGTGCTTGAAATCTCGCGTCCTGGGCCCAAAAGTTGGGGCAAACCAGAAAGTGCACAGGACTGACCTGGAGAAGGAGAAGGAGGAGGGGGGGAAGGATAAAGAGAAGTTGCCGGCAGGAGAAACGGAGAATGAGCAAGGCGAGGAAGAAAGCGCCGGTAAGGCCTTTCGGGGAAGGGAGTGGAAATTAAAAGGGAGTTCACGAGATTCTGAAAGCTGTGAAATCGGTGGGATTCTCCCTCATCCTGCTACTCTTCAGTAGAAAAGGAGACTCTGTCGAACCCCCAGCTTCTCATCTCGACCACCATGGGAACCCCATTCCCGGGAAGCAGTCCAAGATCCCCAAGGAGAGAGAAATCCAGCCAATTGCATGAATTCTAGCTTCCCCTTGCCCCCTTTGCTTGCCTGTTCCTTTTCTCTTGCTGTGAGAACGCCTCTTCCTTTTCCAGATCTCCCGGCGCCTGTGAATGGAGAATCAGCCACCCAGAAGGGAGAAGGGGGAGCGGAGAACAAAGGCCAAGGGGAAGACTGGACTTTGGGAGATGGCAAGAGAGGCACATCCCCCGAAGACACCCACAATGAGTAAGTGTGGTTGGCAGGCTGGGTGGCACCAGAGCTGAGGGTTACCTCTCAGCAGCACCAGCATCTCCTACATCAGGCAGCCAGCCAAAATGGCTGTAGGATACGCAACAGAGGTACCGTAGTGGGCAGAGGGGATGGCCTTGAGGAAGAGCTAATGCCAAGGCAACGGTCAGATAAAAGAAACCTGAGTCCAGGGCAGAGCTGTAACCTGAGAACGAGTCGCAAACAACACCCTCCTACAAAGATAAAGTGTGTGTTTGCGGGGGGAAGCACATTCAGATTTGCAAGATTCTGTTACAATATCTTTATAATAAAAGTAATATTGGCTTGCATGGCTGGTTTCCTCGCCTGGTCTACCTGGAACGGCTGACAGATGCCTGTCCCGGTAACTACCATAAAAAAAAACTGAGTTTCTCAACCACTTGGAAACCGTTACGTCTGTTGTGTGGCTTTTTTATGCATTCCTGTACGTGGCTGAGTTTGACATTCTCTCATTGAGGTGAGGGCCGACCAAGAGATCTCGGTCTTCATTTAGCTTTGCACATAGAATGTTCCTGGCATTAAGATTAGACAATGTAGCAGGAATTGGGAAATGCCATTCTTTCTGGTGGTAGGAGCAGACAGCTCTGGAGTAAATAGACAAAGAGGCAGCCTGAGACAAGAATTAGGAGACTGGTAGCACCTTCTCAGACACGCCAATTTAATTAAAAGGCAGGAGTTTTGTGAGCTGCAGAGAGTTGGAAAAGGTGCTCCAGTCTCCTTATTTTTTGCCGTCCTAGGCTAACACAAATCTCCTACTGCAGCCTAGGAGAGTGTCTTACATTTAGAGTTGCAGGATATGGCTTATCGTACCTTCCAACAAATATTAGCAACACTCTTCTTCTCTGTCCTGAACTCTGAAAATATGTTGGACTACAACTCCTAGGAATCTCCAAGCAGCATTTTGGGGGGATGGTGGGCATTGTCCTTCAGCAATTCGAGAGAGCACAGATTTATTCTCGCCATTTTCTGACCCAGATTTATAGAATGGAAAAAAGTTCATTTACTGGGTCTTAGAAATGGGAGATGTGTACGTTAGCACCCCCTCTATCAATAAGTGGGTAATATACCGAAGCTTTGCAGTTTAACTGTTTATCAAGAATTATGGTTATATCGAGCATGGGGGTGGCAAAAAGAATTAAATAGGTATCCTTGCTTACTGACCACTCGTTCAGGGATCATTCAGAGTTACAATGGCACCGAACAAGAAGACTTATGGCTGGTCCTTGAAGTTGTGGCTATCACAGTGTCCCTACAGTCATGTGATTGCAATTTGGACACTTGGCAACCAGTGCACATTTACAACTGTCACAGTGTCCCATAGTCACATGATTGCCATTTGTGACCTTCCCTGCCAATTTCCCACAAGCAAAGTCAATGGGGAAGCCGGCAAGAGGTCGCAAGTCACGGTCACATGAAGTTGCACTTAATGTCCACAGATGATTTGCTTTAACGATAGCAGCAGAACTGGCGTAAGTCGGGTGCAGTCACATGATGTTTCACTTAACGACCATGGCACTTAGCAACAGAGTTGCTGGTCCCAATTGCAGTCAGTAAGTGAGGACTACCCGTATTAAGAAATTGGAAAAGCGGTATTATTCCAGATGTCAAGGAACGGTTGTCGGAAATGTGTCATCTCTCTGTTTTGGAAAAGGCAATATTTTCTACCAATAAAAGGATGCAGCAGTACTATGGCAGAAATTCTGTAATATCTTACAATAATATCTTGTATGGTTCATATTATAGTAGTAAATTCATTGGTAAACCAGTGACTATTGATAAGTATAAAACGTAAGGTAGATTTTTTTTTCTTTTCTTCCTTAGTTTTAGTATTTTTAGTTTGTACTTTTAATTTTTTAAAAAGTTTCTTTATTTAAGATTAAAGATTGTTTTAATCGGGAGGGAGGGAGGGAGGAAGGAAGAAAGGAAGGAGAGGGAAGAAGAAGGAAGGAAGGGGGGAGGGAGGGAGGGAGGGAGGGAGGAAATGGAGGAGGAGGGAGGAGGGAAGGGGTCTGACCTTGTAATATTTTGCAAGCTGCCCTTCCCTTCCCCAGGCTCTGAGAAGGCCATTACCAATTTGGGAAGGCTGCTGCTGAGCACTGTTTCCCTGCTCTTCCTTGCGCCCTGACATCTCTTTCTGTTCTTCCTTCCCCTCCCTTCTCACCCTCCTGGGATCCCTGCAGAGCGCAAGACTATCCTGAGACGGACCGGGCAGGGACAGAGCGAGGGAGAGTCCACCCAGAGTCGGACTCGGCGGACGAAGACGACGAGAGTTGAGGGCAGCCAAAAGCCCCACGAGGAAGTGGCCCCGGATTGTTGCGATGCTGGCACGCTTTGCCCGGTGTTTCTGAGATGCTTTTCCAAGCCACACAGTAGACAGCATTCTAGGTCATGTCCTTCCCGAGAACTCTTTCCCCTTTCTCCTTTCCCCAGCCCTCTCTCGCTCCCTCGAGAATGATGAACTTCTGGGGCAGCCCCACACCATTGTACGTTTGTATTGGTCCCATGTTCTGCCCCCCACTTCCCTCCCCTCCCCTCTCCTTCCCTGCCTCTTGCCTTTACTCTTGTGATTTCCACAGACATGAAATGAATATATAAAGGGTTGTTTTTTAATGAAAAAAAAAAGGCCGTTGATCTTTGTCAACCTTCTTTG